AACTGAATGGGCAATGAAACATGTGTGTCATTTACCGTCACTTTGAGGAGACAACAAACAATCTTTTTTTCCCCCCCATTTTCTGTCTATATGTATTAGAGCAAAAGCGAGTGTGGTAGATTGGATAAGCAGACACACAATTCCTGGTAAATTGTTTGTTTAATTACTTTTTCTTTCCTTTTCTTGTGAGCACGCATGCAAAGAGGGATGGTTCCCCCTCCTGGCTGCTCATAAGAAAACCAAACACTCGCTGGTCTCCTGTGCCTGCCCTAAGTGCCACCTATTCACTCAGCTGTTGCTGCTTCTGACCTGTGTGCGGACACATCAGCTGAACACATCTGTGTGTGAGTGTGTGTGCAAGCATCCCCATAAAATCAAATATAAACAACTTAACTTTTAGTTCTCTGTAAAGTATGTATTTTAAGAGACACTATGTAAATGATTCATTTGTAAGAGATTATGAATAGAGCTTAGGCTCTATGCTGCTTTGTGATTTAAAATAGAGTTCATAGGTGATGACTGCAAAGTGGAAATTCATGTCAAGAGCTGCAGTGACTTGTCGGTACAGCAGTACAAGGGGCTATCCTGGTGTCGTAGTGGTTAAGACGCATACAATATATTCATCTTCATTTAAACTTTATACATGCAAGAAGTAACTTCTAATGGGGAAGTTCATGTATGGAGGGTATTACATAGTGTTCACTCTATTAGGTACATGTGTATAGTCTTAATGTCATCCAAAACATTTGTTCTGCTGTAAGTCTACTTTTAGGATGCCTTTAATGTTCAGTTTTTTTTTGTCATTATATTGAAGTATTTAATTGAGGTATAGAACAAAAAAATGGCAGGGATGTTGTATTGGATTGCATTAGATTGTATATGTCCACCTAATTAAGTGGCCACTGGGTGTATACATTGTCCCTATGTGCAGCTATGGTACTGAAGACACACCTTAATGGGTCAACTATTATTAGCTTTCAAACTGTGATCCATAGAGCACTAATGCTCTTAAGTTGCTTTCATGATGGGAGAAAAATTACTTTCAAAGTGAATTCCTATAAATTAAAAATCATTTGTAACTAAAATAATTATTCTTGCTCATAGAAAATATATTGATGGGGAAAAAAGCATAAAAACTGTCTGCAACTGAACAATATTTTCATTATTATTTAATCTGACAATTGTATTCATGAGTAATCGATTAATCGTTTGACCTATTTCAGAAAAAAGTAATGAAATGCACATCGCAACTTCCTAAAGCCCGCGGACATATTCAAGCAGCATGTTTTGTCCAACCAAAACTCGGTAACCAGTTTACTATCATAGAAGAATAAGTAAACCAGCAAACATTTACATTTGAGGTGCTGAAGCCAAAAATATGTTGGTATTTGTGCTAGATGACTGTCCCATTATCAAAACAGTTACCAGTTCCTTTTTTAGCAAATGACTAATCAATTACCTGACATATGGTTTCAGCTCTAATAAAAACCAATGTTCTAAAAAAAATAAACTTCTTAGTATTACAATTTCAGTTTGAGTTCCTGTTTTGAATTTAATGGACTGTTTGCTAAATGTAGTTTGACCCTCGGCCCTCCTATGATGGTAAAGGCATATTAAATGGAGAATCTAAGAGGTCCGACCCACCGTGCACCCCTTGCCCTCTGATGACAGATGAGCTGAATTTCAAATGTCCGCAGACACCACGAACCAGTCTGGTTGGTCTGTCTCTGCTCTCTGGTCACTGGCAGAGAGGATAGAGGATGGAGGGGGAAAATGAGGGGGGGGGAGGAGGAGTAGAAGGGGGGGGGGCGTGAGACGAGGGTGGGGTGGGTAGGGGGGAGAAAAATGTAAGAGCAGCAAGCCTAGCAGATCAAAGAAAATAACATGGGAGAGGATATGAGTGCTTTGAGAAGTAATATAGCCGAGATAGCATCTGTTTTCCGTAGCATGCAGGAGGCTTGAGACAAGCCCAGGAAAAAGACAACGGAGAGCGAGTGCACTTTAGCCGCGGATAAGACCAAACACAAATGGGTTATTAAGAAGCCCTCAATGTAATATCTGGCTGACATTAAAGTGTCTCTTTCTGAAATGATCCACTGCTGGGGATAAGGGGCTTTTCATGATACTGATGTTGAAAAAATAATATGAAGGATCGTTATAAGGGTGTGGGTGTTTATATGTGTGGATCTGTGTCTTTTAGAGAGAGAGATTAAAGAAATAAAAACAGAAATGTTATCGCCAGTGTCTTGCTGGACAGTTTACTAAACCCCGAGAAGCCCTGCTCTGTAACAAAAAGCTCCAAAGCAAACACTTTAGACGCCTGTTAATGATTAAAATAGGCATTGTTAGCATTTCCTAAGTCGCACCTAAACACTAACCAGAATTTAAATGGGTTTTAATGAAGAGGGGATGGAGGTAACGGCTAAAACCTTTTTATTGTTTGCTTTATTGGGTATATAGTTTGTTCTTCTCTAATTGTCTTAGTTAGCTATGCAAAATCGTAATTGGTACATCTTTTTTAACACCATTTGAAAGAAACTATTTTATTTACATAAAAACAAATAGTGTGATTTAAGAATACTGTCAACAAAGTGGGATACTCACCCAGTTGTCTATTTTAATTTCTTTGGCCCATATAGTATATCAAAACCATTCATAGGTCGAGCTCCCATATGAGCCTCCTGAAGATTGAATAATGGCCTTCCTGATCCGCACTGCAAGAGGCCATATTGGATCCAGATTTCACTGGTTCAAAAGTCATTTCATTCCCCTTCATTCCCCCCCCTCTCTGCTTTATTCCTCCCTGTCTCGCCCAAGCCTTCTCTCTGCCTGCTTTATTTATTGCAGGTCCAGTGGTGTGGTACAAAGCCATTACCCGCGCATATGTACCTTTTTGAATAATCAATAAATAATTATTTTATTATTTAATAGGATCGTATGGGAAAAGGAAATGGGTTTTATTACATAAATCCATCACATGTGATGAATGGGTACACTTGTAAAGTTGGACGGGGGAGAAGGGAAAGTGGTCGGACGGGCCTGCGCCTGCGCTCAACTGCTAAGCACTTTCTCCATGCGAGGTTGTAAATATGACATTTTTGTCTCTTTGGGACTGTCAATTGGAGTGCAAGGGGAATGGAGGAGGGAGATTGTAAATTCAGAGAGATTAATTAACCTTTTACATTTGCGATTCAGCCCTGCATCTTTTTCTGTGTATTGTGACCCCTATGAGCAGAGGGGTGAGAGACCTGGCCGCAGACGGCCCAGGGAGTGCAGACGTCTCATTCCAAATGAGTTATTAACAGAATTTTTTGAATAGATGGAAAAATTGTAGCCTGGCCATTTAGTGTCATAAAGGCCGGGTTGGCGAGGCGGCAGGGGCCTCCCAGGGACAGGAGGCAATACCATTACAATCAAATCTGAGATGGAAGAGGGATTGAGCTGTCCATTCTGAATTTTTATATTGTCAGAGGGCCGGGGAGGAAATAATGCCATCCTGGAGTGTATTAACCTCTGGCTGGGGAAAGAGGACAGGGAGAGGGAGAGAGAGAGAGAGAGAGAAAGAAGGCAGACAGAGGGAGGGATTTTGAGATTGGACAGCAGGGAGAAAAGAAGGCTAGGAGAGGAATGAAGGGGTAACAGAGAGTTTCATGCCTTATGCTGGGGAAGCCAAAGCGGGAGAGACAGGGATATGAGATGGCCAGAAGACAGAACAGAAGACCAGAGAGTAGGGAATAATGCAATAAGGATTTAGAGAGAAAGAAATGTAGCAGGAGGGAAAGGGGGGGCATATATGGACATGACTGCAAGGGGGAGGAAGAGAGTTGATGAGAAAGACAGAGAGGAAAAGAGGGAAGAAGAGGGAGTCTGGAAGAAATGGGGGTATGGCATGGAGGGAGGAGATGAAGGAGGCACCGAGGCTGGAGGAGAAGATATGGGGATAGAGCTTTTCTACAGCATATACCTTACCACAATATTAAGATGATACCTGAACATGATAATCATAATATTGTTTTGTTGTTCAATTTAAAAATCCCCTCCAGACATGTATTACGACTTATAAAAATAGTCTGCTAGGAACAATAATGTGTATGTTTTCTTCTGCAAAAAAAGTATCGTAGTTTCCACAATAAAACCCTTAAAACGCATCAACTCTTTCTACCTGATTAAATATTACAGAATTTATGAATATGCAAATCATATTCATTTCTTAAGTTTTCCTTCTGGACGTAAAATGTATGTACTTCACTGTTAAGTCCATTCTCAGTGTGTGTGCACTGGTGGCCTCAAATATCTACATCACACTTGTATAAATTGATACTGGACTTGTAAAGTTTTTGTGATGTCACACCCTTTAAATGGTTAGTTTTATGCACACTTTGAAACTTTCCAGTTTCTGCAAATGAATATGAAAAAATCTTTATATTATCAAACTGTGCACATACATCATTCTGCACAGTGAGGTTCAGACATCCCAACAATACTGGCTACTGTCAGTGATATGTTATACAGTCATATTTAACATAGTCATTGATGCATCAACATGTAAGCAGCATTTTAATTCCATAGCTGGTCAAGATTGTTGGCTTAGGTTAGGCCTATAGCAATGCATCTACAAACATACTTTTTTTTTTGCTTGTTTGTTTTTCCAAATCTCAATCTAAAAACTACTACAGTTGTTTAAAAAGTAGTGGAATAAAAAGTACAAAATGCCCCTCTTAAATGAAATTGAAAAGTAGGATAACACTCAACATTGTACAGTAGGATATTTGAGTAAATGAGTAAATGTACTTTCTACCACTGGAGATTGTCCTCAGTGGGGGAGTTCACATTATGAACACTACTGCCTATTTTAATACTATCTGAAATATTATATGATCCATAAACACAGGAGGGGGGTGGGTGCTGGAAGAAGGAGGAGGGAACTATGTTGTTAAACTGGACAAACCAGCAAAACTGGCATGTAATTATTGTTGTGGTGACTGAAGCAACAAACTCACCGTGTAACTCAAGATGGATCCTCCAGCACAGGTAAGACATGTACCCTGTGCCCTTTGACTCTTCATAAAAGACCGCATTAGTCCGGTGAACGTCCTGTTCGTGGCGTTGGTTTATTTACTTTTGCATTAAAGACCTAATTAAATGTTTGCTCTCCACCGGACGGATGATTCACCTGCCACAGCGTGTGGCCGTGTAGACCAATCACATCACAGTTCAGAGGTCGCAGCAGAGCGGAAGTTGTTGGCTGCTTCTGCCTTTGCAGCCTGCAGCTCTTAGCAGGCTAACGCGCTTCTCAGACGTGTTTTGGATGTTTGGCATCGTAAAGGAAAAACATGAAACCGTTCGACATGTGCGAAAGATGAAGCCGCCGCGTCCAGGGAAATGATTTTCAGCGGCGTCGCCTCTGAAGAAGAGGATAAGCTAACGTAAAGAAACCCGGAAGTGTTGTTAAAGGTAACAAGCTTGCTGCTGTAGCTCGCTTGTTTGGTTTGGAAATCAAAGTCAGGAATGAAACGAGTCGCCAGCAGTAATCGTCTCATAAGCTGACGTTGGTTGTTAGGATTACCACTTGTCTTAAGATGCTTACGCTATGCTAGCTACCCAAATGAAAGCTTGTAACGCTGATTAAGTCGTTAGCAACCGGCTGCTTCATGTAGCCTAGCTACCGTTACTGTCTGTCTGTCTGTCTGTCTGTCTGTTCCTACACATATCCCGTGTTTATATCCGTTAACGTTAGCTACTTCATATCTACGAGTCGGTGCTTGTTCAGTTGAATGTGATGCAGCAGTTTGGAGTCTTGGACTAATATATTTTGTTTAGATTAAGGCTATTAGAGCACATTGATCTTTCCCTTACATGTCTCCTAATATCCATACACTAACCCCCCCCCAAAAAGAAAAATAAATAAAATAAACTGTTCACATTATGTAGGGGCTGGGATCAGTGATACAAAAAAAGAACAGACATATTTTAGAGTGTAAAACAGCTTATGAATGCTTACCAATAATAAGTTATACTGTGTTATAATAACTGCTGTGATGCAGTAGCAGTGGGAGCATGAATGCAAGTCTGTGCTCAAAAGGTCTGTGCATGCATCTGTCAACGTGCTATGATGTTTCAGTGTCACAGAGACTGACTGGCTCAGTGTTTACACAATATTCACTTCTTTACAGAACATTATTGTCAACAACTATTTTCATATTCAAATGAGGAAGAAAGTGGCTTCAGCCGAGCATCTGTTTTTATTTGCTTTGGTGCAACATGTTGAACGGGTCTCACTTTTGGCGACACTGTCAGTATGGTTTTGTCATGATGAAAGCTTAGCTCTCGGCTAAGTCCGTCCCATCTATCTTTTATTGTTAAGTTTATATGTTATATCAGGTGATTTACCTCATGCTAGTTACAGTAATGTATATAAAGGTGTATCTGTCTGCATTGCTAATCAACAAGAATGATCTAATGCCACTTTGAGCTTTTGTTCTCTGTTCCTACCAAAGCTCCAGGCTGAGTTTGACACTACAGCAAGAGAAAATGATGTCCTATATTATTATTGGCTAAACCTCTCTTTATGTTCCCACAGCTCCCAGCAGCCACAGACACAATGAGTGCCAAATATGGCCTGGTGGGCTACAACAGTTCACGGAAACACATTTCAATCTCCATCCCGTCGTCCACAGAGGTGATGTCACCCCACATAAAGTCTGTGGAGGAGCTTAGGGTCCTGGGAATCAACCTGAGCAGCTTCAGTGCCCCCACACAGTTCTTCATTTGTGTGGCTGGAGTCTTCGTCTTTTACCTCATCTATGGATATCTGCAGGTAACGCAGGGAGAAAGACAATCTGAGAGATGCTCTTGAACACATTCTTACACATATGGTAAATTATCTTGAAGTAATCAGTTGACGTTTGTCACAGTGGACGGATACTGCTGTTGCAAAGGCTCTGTGTCTCTGTTTGCATGTACAGATATGAAAGAACAGCAAATTTAGCCTCTCCAGAGCTTGTTTATATTCATTTAGTAGTTGGTTTACTCGGTGTAACTAGCATATACGACAGTACGTGACATATAAAAGTTTGTATTACAAGATGGCCTTCAGAACACTATCCTTACCTGCTCAGTGATTCTTTTTCGTCCCTCCACCCAGGAGTTGATATTTTCTGTCGAAGGATTCAAGCCTTTTGGTTGGTACCTCACTCTGGTCCAGTTTGGCTTCTACTCCATGTTTGGACTAGTGGAGCTTCAGCTCACACAGGACAAACGCAGAAGGTAAATAATCTCCTGCACCTACACAACAGACTCATTTGTAACAGTTTTTTTCAGTTTTTTCAGTTATACTATAATTCATGAATCATGGAAATCACTTTCTAAACTACTCTATATTTTTCTGTCTTCCAGGATACCAGGGAAGACATATATGATCATAGCATTTCTAACAGTGGGCACTATGGGCCTGTCCAATACCTCTCTGGGCTACTTGAACTATCCCACACAGGTCATCTTCAAGTGTTGTAAACTTATCCCAGTCATGATTGGAGGAGTGTTTATACAAGGTAAGCTATATGTATTTATACATAGGCCTTACAGATGCAACTACGTATTTACTTTTTGATTTATATTGTGTGATTAATATGGGCTGCTCAGTAGCTGTGAATATTGCAGCACTCTCTTTAATCCTCTGTCTTCTCTTAATGACTTTATTTGATCTGCATTTCACACCTCAGTTTACTGGAAAATCCCCCAACCTACATTTTTAATTGTGATTAGTTAACACCCCATTTAAACTTTTCTTCATTAAGGCAAACTCTTAAATTATACACATGCATTTATCCCAAATAGGTATGGGCAAAAAGATGAGGATTGCGCCTTGAGCAGTTCAAAAACACCAGGAATTGGATTTTTCTCTCAGAATTAAAAAAAAATCTCAACAAAATCATCAGCATTTTTAATACAGCTTTTCCTTATTGAATTTAAAGCGATTTAGCCCTTAGTCATCAATCTGGAGGGGTAGACATTACAACATTTTACACCTCCTTTCAGTCATCTTACATGTTTCCTTTTGAAGCGATGACCACCTTTCAACATTCGGTACCTTCTTTTTATCTAAGTCCGTTGTTTTCAGTTGTCAGGGCTCAGTCGGCAGTTCTCACCGTTTTTCCCCCCTCTTGGTTCTGTCTGTCCTTTCATCCTCACACCGTCCTTCTCAGGGTTCTATGTCCTCAACGTCAGACAGGTTTTGTGTATTTTTTGCCCTCCTTTGCCCCTCTCTTTCTCTCTTTCTCTCTCTCTCTCTCTCTCTCTCTCTCTCTCTCTCTCTCTCTCTCTCTCTCTCTCTCTCTCTCTCCCTGGATGGGTAGATGTGAAGACCATGGTCCCTCAAGGGGTCGAGTGGAAAACAGAATTTGTTCACTTAGAATGCAAAGAGGAAAGAAAGTTGGAGAGAGGGATGGATGGATGAAGGGAGGGGTGTGGGGTTGCATCTGATGTGAGGCCCTTCAAAGGCGAGTCGGGGAATCAAAGCCGACCACGGCCGACCTGATGCTGCGTCCCCTTGTCAACCTCTAGGCATCTATCCGTCAGCCTGTTTTTGGAAGGCTCCTTCATCCTGTTGTTTTTTTTCCCCAACTTTTGCTTTTTCACACAGCCTTTTTTTTGATGCATTGTTACGTGAACAACCTCAGAAACTTTGAATTGTCAAGAATACCCATTGTAAAAACTTTTAGTTACATTTTTACCTGAGTCCAATGTCAACTTCTTTTATTTAAAAAGAGGTGGGTCATCTTTAGAAGATTTCTTTGCAAGATGCACTCGAGGGGAAGCACTCTCTTCCTGTGCAATGTCTCAGTATGGTTTCTCTGTGTTTGTGATGTTGCAAAATGTTTCGGGAAGTTTTACCATTTACATACATTTCAGTTTAGATTCCAAGCTGGTATAATCTCTAAAACCTGTTCTTTGTGTTCCTAGATTTCTGATTGAGTTCTGATTTCAGAATTGCCCATAGACATTCAGAACGAATCAGTGCTCTGTGTTTGTGCTCCAGGTAAACGCTATAATCTGGCTGATGTGTCTGCTGCTCTCTGTATGAGTCTGGGACTCATCTGGTTTACGCTAGCTGACAGCAAAGTGGCCCCCAGTTTCAACGTCACAGGTAATTTCTTGGACTCAACTGCTCTAATACTGCAATGAAACCACACCTTTATTCTGTGTTCTCCTTGTGTGTGTGTGTGTGTGTGTGTGTGTGTGTGTGTGTGTGTGTGTGTGTGTGTGTGTGTGTGTGTGTGTGTGTGTGTGGGCGCATACAGGTGTTCTCCTCATCTCCCTGGCACTGTGTGCAGACGCCGCCATTGGTAACGTGCAGGAGAAAGCCATGAAACTCCATAACGGCTCCAATTCTGAAATGGTACCTTTGTTATCTATCCCTGAAAAAAAAATTATAATAGCTAATAAAGTATGTAAATCTACTGGCAAATACAGCTGTTCACACAGTATTGGGGGCGAGTGCAGAACACGTAGCTCTGCCTGATTGCATCATCCAACCCAGACTGCTATGTTTAGGCTTTGATAATTGTGACAATTGTTGTTATCCTGTGTGTGAAGTTACTGACTGGGGTTGTGTTGACAGGTGCTGTACTCGTACTCCATCGGGTTTGTCTACATACTGACAGGCCTGCTCTGTGTGGGCGGACTGGGGCCAGCAGTGGCATTCTGCTCAGAGGTGAGTATACTTTAAGACAGTAAGACTAAATACCTGTGGCGGGTTATTATTACAGACCTTGTTTACTGTATGTATATTCAACTTTCAGTTGCAAACACGTTGCCGAGGTCAAATGAAATTATTGTTTATAGTATAATAATAATTATTATATTAGGAATGTGAAGAGCTGCGGCTTTTTAATTTAAACTGTATATACTCGTAAGGTGGTTAAATGGCTTACGGTACACGCTTTATTTGCTTTTGTAAGTCCTGGTGTTATTGCAGCATCGGGGGGATACGCTTGTTGTTATGTTTCTGTCTTCAATTTTTTAATAAATCTTTTATCCTCTCCTCCCGTCTAGCATCCTGTGAAGACATATGGTTATGCATTCTTCTTCTCTCTTACGGGTTATTTTGGCAT